GATAAAGAGTCTCGTGGTAGTTAGAGGCCTGGCTTCAAAGCAATAAAGTGATACCRCTGGCACTCTGGGTTTCCGGCYCAAACTCTCTYGGGGCGGCTAGGAACRCCTGGCTACTCAGGCTATGCTTGTAGCTACACGTGYGAAGTTTAGATCTACGTTAAGATGCCGTCTTCAAATCCTTTGCGTTTTCTTCGACCCTTGTACGACATTGCTGTTTGGCAGTTCATATTAATGTTTGGTTRCCTCGAGAAACAAAAACAGCCTCMTTTCACGTGGAGAATRCACAATGTTGTGGCGGAGTTCATGTGTAAACTGCTAAACATGCCAGCCTTCTCGCACTTACAAACAAAGATGGYGGATCAACTCRTGCGCGACGCTACGGGGCAATGGAAAGTAGGAGACAGGGCCACAGATGAGCTGACAGCATGGTGTCAGGATCAGTGGAGAAGAAAAKAATTTAAGAGCCACACCAACCCAGAAAACCACGTATATTTCCCCGTACCATCCACATTGGCTTGGACGACAAATGTTCCACTGTGTTACGAATGTTGCGCTCCATGTCGGAATTGCACAGAAGATATACCCGAGGAACTAGTGACAGCGCGAGCTGTATTAGATGGCTTCCCAAAAGAAAACGAAGAGCAACTTCAAGAAGAACAACAGGAGCAAGAAGAAAATGAACTGCAGCCGTCAGAACCGTTAAAAAAAAGACTGCGTAAAAAATAAGCTTGCGGTTGGCAAGGTTGCCAGTCTATCCTTTCCAGGTTGTAACAGACGAATTTTTGTTGAGTCTCAGGACTCGATCTACTCGATCAGTTTATATCTTTATTTGCCGGATAAATATCATTTTATATCTTTATTTGTCGCAGAAATATTTCTTATATCTTTATTTGTCGCATAAATACCTTTTTACATCTGTAAGATTTTAATTATTATAACTTGGCTAGATCTTTTATTCTTACAAATGCAAAGTTTGAAATCGACATTCTGAATTATAGATATTAGATATTATATAACCTTTGCTATGCATTGAGGAAGTGTAGTAGTAGCCTCGATGCATAGCCAAACTTTATCTAGATATAATATCTATAATTCAGATTTGCACTGTGTGTTTAAAACTGTTCTGGTTATTTCGCATATGTATGCCAATCTTACTGGCATGAAGTTTTTGAGGCAAAAAACTTAAAGTGTAATGTAGACTTAACTTTACAGTAAATTACCAATAGAATAATATTTTACATTTAAGCATATCAATTTTTGGACTGAATGATTAGTATATTTGTAATTTTCGCGACTATGTTTATATTTTCTAATTAAAAAGTGTATATTCTTGTTTCAACAAAAGACATTTCTATTACTATTTCTATTATTACTACATATTCTATTGTACTGATCAACACAAATAGTGAACTTGGGCTACCTGTGTTCACATGTCACTTATGCACTAATTGATACCCGCGAAGTTTTGAAAAAAAAATTAAATAACAGGATTATTGTATAACGGAAAATATGTATGATTACTGATGTTTATATATTCATGATTTCATATAAAAGTTTGTTGATAAGTTGGAAATATTATAGGTGTGCCCGAGATAGATAAACGATAATTTCACATGAGCCAAATTAATGCCTCCCCCCCCGATATGAGTTACGATCGCAAACCATAGACTATAGTCCATGTCCATGAAGCCACAGTTTGCGATATGAGTTACGGTCGCAATCTGTGGACTCGCAACAATGGACTATAGTCCATGTNGTTTTAAAATAGTTCAAGGTATCAGTAAAAGAACATTTTGTGAATACTATTTTTATATTCAACTAGTACTATCGTCATTGAAAACCTTTTGAGTGTAATTCTATTAAACTTATGTTGTTATAATTGCTTTTTGAGTGTGAAGCAAGAGCTGAAAACTTAAACATCTTATCTAGCACTAGCTCTTTATGCCAAGAAAAGTAAACGTCATAAAATTACTTTTACTTTTAGTATTACTTTGTTTAAAGGGGTACTTGGACGTAATGTATGGCCGTTTTTGAAAAACCTRTAATATTAYGTCTTAGCCGCTGAAACTTTCTCAACATAAAGATAAATAAACAAGAAATCACTCTGTAAAGTTTCATTTCGATATTTCAATGGGAAGTATGACATATTTACGATTTAGTTTTCATCCGCCATTATTTTCTCTACTCACGGCCAAAAAGTAAATGTGTACAGCGGACTTCCCTATGACGTCATAGGTCCAACGCATACTAATGACATCGTTTATAAACTGTATATTTACATGTATCAGCGATAGAAATTTTAGCTTTAAAAAACAAGATTTTTGCTCCCTTCGTAAATTTTAAGTGGTCCAAATCATTCCTTGAGACAAATGGCTAGTAGTAGAAGAGAAAGAGGGTCAAGAAGAAGAGCAAATGCTTCTTGACAGATTCAATGCGAAGGTCGGATTCATTTGAACGAATRATAGGCTTTAGCTCATAAAGATACGATTGATAAAAGACTTTGGAGGTTGAATCTATTGGCCTTTGTACCGAGGACGAATCTACAAAGCGTTGAGAACATAAAAGCGACGACTCACGGTAAGTGATTGTGGTCAACCATAAAAATGAGATCAAATAAATATTAATGTTAGTAATAAGTGAGATTAAAGATATAATTAACCTTATAGTTAAACACACTCATCAAATCATACTATTTTTATTAACCAGACATTGTCCAAAGTTTCTTTAGTTAAATGGTGTCAGTACATCCATACACACAATTACAATACTATCACTTCAATTATTCAGCTGCAATATTAAACAAAACATACCTGGTGCATATTGGAGGAACATTTGTGTTTGCTAATGTTAGTCTTTGTGTGTATATGTGCAAATGGCTTTTTTTCTCATGCTCAAGTATGCTATTCATTGGTTCATATGTGTATTTGCTTGTAGCTCATTGCATCTCTTGCTGTTTTAACCATGGTTGTTTTATTTCACATAATCCATTTAGTAAACAAAAGTTGTGTTTTGTTGCCATATGCACACTTAATTTTAATTTAACATTGGAGTGGTTTTCATTAACCCGTGAAATACACTTTAGCATATTACACTTTATTACGCTTTGTCTCTTTTGTTTTCTATTATATTTCTCGGCTATTACACTTTATTACACTTTGACTATTACACTTTGTTTCACGGGTTAATGAGAACCACTCTAATAGAAAACAAAAGATCAGAGACAAAGTGTAATAAAGTGAAATATGCTGAAGTGTATTTCACGGGTTAATGAAAACCACTCTAAAATGTTTNGTTGAAATTGGCGCGGTGCAATCGCACATTAATCGCTTTCACTTTTCCAAATCAGACTTGTTACTCGGTGATTTGTGCACTGATAGTCCTGTCTTGAGATTGATTATCTTTCTACAGCCCAAAACTAAGCAACGCCACATCATTTTAACGATAAAGTCTCACTCGCTTCTGATTATTTGCTTGCCGCACGCGCATTCCTTGGCGTGCACTAGCTGGCCATGTTCTCTGTGCAAACCCATGCACGTTGACAACCTTCCAAGTGACAGAACTGGCCAAAAATACATCACGCCATCTACTACTAGCCGGAATATATTCAATTAATACTCTCTAGGTATTTACAGAGACGGTAAAAGCGCAGATCTTAAATTGTAATAACTTGGTAGTGAAAAGTAACGATTATACGTATGAAGCTAGATGGTACGAGAGCAAACACTTGAACAGCATTGTCGTGTCTAAAAACATTAATTCTTATTTAAAAAAAAAACAAATAACTACAAGATGATTTTTAGGTCTTGCAACTCAACTTTGTTGTGTCACGCTTTGGTATACAAGTCAGACTTTGAACTTTATTGCGAATTGTTGCGTCGAGAATTTACCAAAATCATTCAAAAAAAGAAAAAAAACGCATATAAAACGTTGCACTAACAATGCTGAATTTACTGATTCAGTGGGAGTTTGGAGTGCATTCATTATATCAATGAAACACTTTGCTAACAAAATTGTACAAATTTAGAGTAAAATTCTTTATCTTCTATTTTCTAATTAGGGCAATATTTTTCTTGTGTGTTTTACGGATGTACCCTAGTCAGTTAAGGTTTTTCGATCGTAAAAAATAGCGCTTCGCGCGTATTTTTAAATTCCAACTACGTCGCAAATTTCGATTCCATTGCACTCAAATTTTCACAGAAATCACATTGATTATCGATAATTCTTGTTGATAAATTAATCTGCCAAAAAACGAAGCCATTTGGATAAACGATGCAAAATGAAAACACCTTCATTTTTCTTCAAAATTAATTTTCTCGAAACTCATCGCAGAGATTRYAATAAAATYTTCAGAATCATTTCTTAATAACATAATTRATAYACTGACRAAGTTTCAATAAAATCTTAACCTAAAATTTCGAATTGTTTGAGCAAAATGATGTACATTCGAACAACTCGAAATTTTAGGTTAAGATTTTATTTTATTTTGTTGTCTATTGTCTTATCAACACTATTTAGTAATGATTAAGATTTGTTTCACGGATTGAGTGCGTCTACTCTAATAATTACCATTATAATTCAAAAATAAAACAGAAAATTGAAGCAATCGTCTTCATTTATTAATTAATATATATATATATAATATAAATCAAACTTATTTTTTCTTTGAATTTAGAACTTTATATAGTTTGCCAGGTTTCACCACACCATAMCTTTGAGCTACACTCGCTTCTGTAAAGTTGTGTTCTTTAAAAATTTTATAGACAAACTTTCTTTGACTGTAAATGGACACATGTGGGCCTTTAAGGGACTTGTATGACCTCATTTCTGGAGTCCAGTCCTTTAGGGGAGGACAGTCTTTAGCACCTGCCTCCCAGATGCTCCTCACCTCCTCTAGGGTCTCAACTTTTCTTGGTATGTGCAATGAGTCTAACCATTCATTGCAGGAACGATGCTCTCCATACTTCCGATGAACGGACAAAGTAGCAACGGAGTAGGTTCTGTTAAGAGGCATGGAGGATGATGGTTGTTGAAGTGGGATGGCTTGTGGAAGTGATGCGCTGTGGGAGACTGGTTGTTGAAGTGGGATGGCTTGTGGAAGTGACGAGCTGTGGGAGACTGGTTCTTGAAGTGGGATGGTTTGTGGAAGTGATGGGCTGTGGAAGACTGGTTCTTGAAGTGGGATGGCTTGTGGAAGTGATGATCTATGGGAGACTGGTTGTTGAAGTGGGATGGCTTGTGCAAGTGATGGGCTGTGGGAGACTGGTTCTTGAAGTGGGATGGCTTGTGGAAGTGATGGGCTGTGGGAGACTGGTTCTTGAAGTGGGATGGCTTGTGGAAGTGATGGGCTGTGGGAGACTGGTTCTTGAAGTGGGATGGCTTGTGGAAGTGATGGGCTGTGGGAGACTGGTTCTTGAAGTGGGATGGCTTGTGGAAGTGATGGGCTGTGGGAGACTGGTTCTTGAAGTGGGATGGCTTGTGGAAGTGATGGGCTGTGGGAGACTGGTTCTTGAAGTGGGATGGCTTGTGGAAGTGATGGGCTGTGGGAGACTGGTTCTTGAAGTGGGATGGCTTGTGGAAGTGATGATCTATGGGAGACTGGTTGTTGAGGTGGGATGGCTTGTGCAAGTGATGGGCTGTGGGAGACTGGTTCTTGAAGTGGGATGGCTTGTGGAAGTGATGGGCTGTGGGAGACTGGTTCTTGAAGTGGGATGGCTTGTGGAAGTGATGGGCTGTGGGAGACTGGTTCTTGAAGTGGGATGGCTTGTGGAAGTGATGGGCTGTGGGAAACTTGAGTTTGTGGAACATGGGTGTTTGGTGGTGGTTCATGTGAATGGTTGTGGCACATAGAAACAAAAACAGATGAGCAATATGCTACTTGTCTTGCAGCATTTAATGCTGACCCAACACTGTTTTGTGGGAGGCCAGTTGGTTGCGACTGGAATGCCTCTAGCCGTTTGTTTATGCTCTCTAGAGCTTGAATAATTTCAAAATTATTACTTCCACCAGGAGTTGACAATGGTGCTATATGAACAGCTGGAGAAGCATGTACACTTTGATGAAGACTTTCTTTAAGYTTCTCTGCTTTAGTGACAATATCTCCTCCAGTGTTTTCATTACTGTTATGTAACATGACTTCAAGGCACTTAAGAAGTTCTTGGTCCTATGTGAACAACAAGAAAATGACTGAGTTAGCAAAAAGTAAATAAATCATTATCTGCTACCAGCAYAGAGTGGTTTTCTGTCAACCGTGCAAAGAAATAGACCAACAACAAGCTACATAGTAGCATTTATTAATAGTCTACAGACATTAAAGACATAGACTATAGATAAATAGCTAAAAAAATAACAGRGCAGTCTGAACAAATTAAACATGTATTTTAATTCACTATCATAAAATTTGTTTTAAAAATTGTTACTAGAGCAATATATAAATATCAAATATTTCACATTATTGTGATATGTTTATACCTATTAATGGGCACAAGTCAAGTCTAGACTATTACATGTAGCAGCATTGGTCTAATACAAACTAGTACTATTATTAATAAGAGTAACCTTGGTAATACTGTACAATTTAACACAAAAAACTAATGAAACAAGTTGCAGACGTGTCATGGTCATATTGCAAGAACATTGATATAATCGATATAAGAAGAGTCTCCTGAACACTATTTTAAACTGTGCTTACAAACTATTGTCGACACAAGAACTTTTTGACCAAGAATGCAAATGCATCAAGAATATACTGTAAGGGATAAGAACACAACAACCAATGCCAATGACAATAATACAACTATTTGTATCTCAATTCCTTTTAAGACCCAGAGGTCAGCAAATATACTAAAAAAACAACTGTAAGTTTAAGTAATAAACTTTATGTTAATCTACAACCTGCTTTCAAGAGCCACAAAACTGCTGATGCTATATATGCATCTGACAAATCAAGCAAACATTTTCAACCAGCAATGCTTGGTATACAAGTTTAAATGTGATTTGTGTGATGCAGAGTGCATCTGATACACACGAAGCATCACCGTTACCCGGGGTCTTCTATAACAGAGACACTCATGGTGTAATAAACAACATAAACATACATAAATAACATTTTTTTTTTGTTTTGCAAAAAAGTCCAATTGAAAGGGATTGTAAAATGTACAAAATGACACAAAATGTCAGCAACTTGTTTCAACAAGTAGTTTTTCTACTATCATTAGCCTCACTATTTTTTCTCTTTTTCAATCAATATGAATGGTCTGTCACTCTCTCACTCACTTGCCTAGAACTACATTGTGGTATTCAATACTACAAAGGTTGTAAATGAAATATTAGAAAAGTCATTTGGATGTAAACACCTCACCTCATCCTCTTCATCATTGCTTGAAGCATCTCCCCAGTCCGACTCTGATGATGAGCTCTAAATCAAAATCAGAAAGTAATAATTTTATTGTATATATGTTCTGCCATGAGCAAAATATAAAAGATTATTAAAATAATATTCACATTCAAATATCATATTATTTTTCTTGCTGAACAACTATAGCATCTTCCTTGACAATTAAACATTTTGTTTAATAAAATCAATAAAAAAATACAATTTTTTGTTATGTAGTGTGGGAGTAGAGTACAAATTACAGTACAAAGCATAACCTAACTGTTAATAGTCTCTTAATAGAAAATCTAAGCCCAAAGAAAAAAACCCTATAGAAAAAAACCCTATAGACTGTCATACTGCTTGTAATGTTACAAGTAGAGTTATCAATCTAATATTTTGCAACAGAAAAAGATTAATAAAAGCAGTAACACCACTTGTAAGTTAGAATGTGATTACATTCCATGTCATTTATAGCTTTTGATAATGCCACTAATATGGTACCATTTGGTCACCTTGGCTACATGAAGGCCTGCACTTATCAAGCAACCAAACATGACCTCTCTTTGGAACTCGTCCATAGTATAAAAATGCAGAAGGATACCAAAATCTCTGTATGACTCAAATTGCTATTCTAGATTCATTCTTCAATTTTCCAGCTAACGTACTTAAAAATTGAGATTTTGTTGTTCAGTTATCACAACACATATGTCCCACAATTTCAGGTGCCTTTTTTATTTCACACGGCATCAAATGTTGTTGAATTAGCAGAGAAATGTGTTTGTATTTGTGTTCACATCATGCTTTGAATTCTAATGAGTTATCTAGCATGCCTTAAATTAATAGTGGATCTGAAAACTCTAAATTTATCATCTAAAAAACATTTTCCTGTTCACTCATCCACCAAAAATTGGTAAGGAACTTATATATTAGATCAATTTAAGAACATGTAGATGTATTACACTTACTTCCATCTGGATTTCTAAATCCTGCTCTGTATCTTCAGTTGGTGATGACTGAAAAAAAAAACATCTAAGCTTTAATATTGATTTAGGTTATAAAAGTAAAAAGTAGTCAAAATGTAATGCTTGGTAAAATTAAAAATTAAAAAAATTGAAATTCACTAAGAGCACACGAATGACAAAAATTATTGTCCTGTTTTGGTTACTATTCAAGCTTGCAAAATAGAGCTCGGAAACCGAGAACATTCACTTTTTCAGTTGCGATATTTTGCATCCTACAAGTACTTATTTAGCTTTAAAGCATTTTGTTTTAATATGCCAGCACATTATGCAAAGAAATAAAAAAGATAGGCTGTTGCACCCATTCTAGGAGGACTTGAAAAGTAAATGTACTCCCATCATGCTTTTCTCTATAAATTGACTTTTGCAGGCACCTTGTGTTGAGTTTTTGTCACCATACAGTCCGTCAAGCATTAAGTTTGAATAAATTAAAGCGAAACACGCATTTGAGCGAAAAAGCTGTTGAAATGGACTAAAACATTCTAAATACTATATACCGAATAGCCAAATATATACACATATATAGGATAAACTTTGATTTTACTGTATATTTCTGTTTTTACATTTTGGTTGTTTTATATCGAATATATACTAGTGAGCACGGCCAGCCGCGTGCGTCGGATTCTTCGAATCTCATATTTATTTTGTAAAGCTGGATCGATTGTAGATTGACAAGAAATAAGTCAGAACTTATTCAGATATCCTCAGATAAGACATTATGCAGTGTTTTCGCTCTGTTTAAAGCCTTATATACTTCTATATATAGAAATCGTAGCGACAAGAAAAACCTTTAGAGCAGTCGACTGACAACACGTGGGTGTACGGTCGTGTCACTAGAAACAACTCCGATTTCCATAAACCGCTTTCTTCTCTATTGATTTGCTGATAAAGTTCTCAGAAATGATTATGAAGCATAAAATGGATAACTTGAAATGGCACTATAGGTTGTTATTCTCTGGACCTGTTTACCGTTCAGTGAATTTCAAGCTAAAGTCTTAAGTTTATAACTTAGTAATACTTAAGTCTTAAGCTTTAAAATGTTTGGTGCAAAAAGTGCTTTTAGGAATACTGTCCTATAAAACTCACTTACCTTTTCAGAAGTTGATGGATTCATCTTGTAAAGCAACCAAAGATATAAAGATAACCACGCGACGCAAAAAAAAACAAGGAACGACCGAGAGATAGCACTTGTTTGTAAAAGTCTTGAATGTGATGAAGCTATCGAAGTTTCTAGGCCTGGTTACTCATGTCATTTGTCAGTGGTAGTAATATGACGTCACTGTAGGAATCCGTAGTAATGCTACGCTCCATATTTGGAAGCGCAAAGAAAAGAATAATCTATTTATTGTTTCTGTTATAAGTCCTATAACATAAATTATCCCAAAAAATCATTCAGCTTATTTACTTGGTTTTTGGTATCGACACGTTAGAAGACGAKGAAAAACTACACCCAAAACAAATTTGTAATAATTGCTATGCAAAATGCTTAAAAGGTGAAAAGAAGAATGATTATAAGACCTGCGTACAGCCAGTTAACTGGAATGAACATAGCACCGAAAACTGCGAGACATGTGAATTATACAAAGAAAAACGGCATGGAGGAAGAAAGCGSAAATTGTCTAAAGGAAGGGGAAGACCTACAAATAAATCAAAAGCCGCTCGCCTCGATAGATCAATTGTTTCCAATACCCATATACCTACTGACGCCATACCTGTTCCTATAATTGACAAAATACCCGAAATACAACGGTTCAATAACCCACCAGAAGATCTGGTTTGCCCAATTTGCCGAGAAATTCTTGATAGGCCAATACAGTCTGCATGCCAACACCTTTTTTGCTACAGATGTATATACGAGTGGCTTACCCATACCGGTGACCAGGCAAAATGCCCTTCGTGCACCCAACCATTATCATCTACAGCTTTTTGCAAAGTTCCAAGAGTAGTTCAGAACG